TGAATCGTCGTTTGGAAATTATAAATACTCCATCCTTCATTCTTTCCAACTTTACATCCAAACTTTTTCTACTCTTGTTCCAAAAAAAACTTTGCATTCTTTAACACTTGTACTCAGATTTCTTGAAGCTTTTGAAAGAACGCTCGCTTGTCTTCACCCCAATCCATTGAGCGTAACCTTTTAACTTCCCCTTCTTCATCTTTAAAAAGAAAATGGGGAAGACTTCTAAGACAGTTCCTCAAAAAGATACTGCCTCTTCATCACGGCCGGTCGGCAAGGAACCAGTGGCAGAACCTCCTCTTGAAGCGTTTATTCCTGGCGGGTGTTCGGTGGCCGCCGACTTTAATGTTGTAAAACCTTTACCTGTTCCGGGCCGGGGTGAAAAGGTGTCGAGATATATTTTTTCGATCACCGAAGAGACCCTCCCTACAGTCATAAAGGACTGTAACTGGACCGTAAAAGACGTGGTGGTCGCCGGCCCCGAAGAAGATATCACTACCCATATTAAGGGATGCTTAAGTGTTTACACTTATCCCTTCAAGTTGGGTCCATTGGACCCGGTGATCATCCAATTCTGTAAAAGGTACAAGGTGTGACTTGGTCAGATCCACCCCTCATTCTGGAGGATAGTCATTCTTCTCCGATTCTTCGAGAGAAGGATTGACGGATACCCATTCACCATCGACCATCTGATGCGCCTGTACAGTCTTCGATTCTTCCGGGGGGGGGGGGGGACTGATTAATCTTGCGCGCCAGGCCTCTAAAGCCCCATTCTCGAGCATTCATGAAGATCAAAATCGAGGTTGGTTGGGCCAATTTGTCCAAGTGAGGACCTCGTATCTAATCCCCGTCGAGGACATGTCGTTCCATGAGGAGTGGAACACAAAACATAAGTAAAGATCTGTTTTTCCCAAAATATTTTTATATTTACTCTTTCCCTCCTTTCTTATTGATGTTTGGTGTCGATGCAGCTGTTGCTCGGGTTCCGAATGCAATTCCTCAACTCAAGGAATGGGCCAAGGGCCTTGTATCCCAAAAACTGTATTCCGAGCGTGCATGGCGTGAGCTTTGAAAGGGCCGGTGGGAGGCCCGTTCTGACAGTGAGTTTTCTTTCCCAAGTGAATCATAGTTGATTTTTCCTCTTGCTGCTGAGTTCTTATGCGTTCTATTTTCCTTTGCAGGTCTTTCCAAGGATGTTACCATGAGGACTTCATCCACTGACGTGGATGTACCCGCCGAGTCCCCTACTCTGAGGCATGGTGATGAGAAGAAAAGGAAGAGGGTCCTGAGTTCTCCGAGCTCGGAAAAGAAGAGAACAAAAAGAAGTCTGGTAAGTAAATCTAAGGGTAGCACTAGTACTCGGGCGCCCTCTTCGGACTCACTTCTCTGGCTGAGGGACAAGTCAGAAGAAAAAGAAGATGAAATCTCCGACCTGGTAACCTGCGTCAGGTCAGGGCTCGAGGTACGAGGGGCCTCCGAACCAGTGAGAGATGAAATTGAATTGCCTCGACTTAGGGAGGTCGATGAGGGAGCTTTAGATGAAGCTTCCGAACCAGAAGGGGGTGAGGCCACTTTGCCTCGAGTTAGGGAGGTCGATAATGAGGTCGTAGCCGGTTCTTCCCGAATAACAGACAGTGCCCCGAAGGGCGTACTCGGAGTGATAGACCACTCCGGGTCACCTTTATTTACTGAGTCTATGTTTACCGAGGCTCAAACGCTGAAAGGATGCCCCAACGAAGAGCCACAAGGAGCGGTGCCATAGACTCTACCGGTATGGAGGACATCATCGGGTTGGTGATTTATCGGTGCCGAGGAAGAGCCCCATCATCGGGGATGAATGGACCTTCCTCAAGTCCCAAACTAGTCAATCGGTTCCTGGCTCCGAGTGCGAATCCTGACTAGAAGCGGTCGATCGTTATGTCCATCCCGGAACATTCCCGTGTTCTTTCTACCCCCATAAGGGTTGCTAGTTACCTCCGATGCTTGGTGAAAAAGGAGGACCATGCCAAGATGAACAAGGTGGAAGTGCCTTGCCTGTTCAATGAAGCTCAACGGGCGTTAAATCGGGTAACTTTAGATACTTTTTAATAATTTCTAGTTTGTACTTAGATTAGTTTGTAGGTGTTCATAACTCCTTTCTTTGTGCTTGTAGGCCTCGGTACTTCACCAAGAGATGTTCCTCCACTATCGGGAAGAGCTGGACCAGTACGAGACCGAGATCTGAGGGCTCATTGAGAAAAGAGATACTTACAAACTTCTCAGGGAGCAAAGTGAAGGGGAGGCTAAGAGCCTCCGGGCTAAGTTAGGGGTGGCTCGGAAAGAGCATGCCGACCCGGTTGAGTAGGTAAAATGATTTTTTGAAGTTAGTGATGACGAATCAGACATGGTGACTAACGGTCCGAAATCGCAGGTCCAACAGAAGCTTCATCGGATCGAGCAGCTTCGGGCAGAGGTAGCTACGGTGAAGGCCTGGATCACTTGGCCTCGGAAAAAGAGTCTGCCTAGGCACAAGTACCTTCAGCTGAGTTCCAGCTCCGAAATGTAAAGGAAAAGGCTTCGGTGCAGGCCAAAAAGATTGAGGAACTTCAGTCGTAGCTGAATTCGGCCGTCTCCTATCGAGAAAATCTAGCCAAGGAGCTTGAGGTGGCCAGGTTGGAGGCCAAGGTGGTCAAGGCTGATGCCGAGGAGATTGTGGCTGTTTACAAGGTTGATGTCGAGGTAGCCCAAGTTCAAGCAAAGGGTCTCGTCGAACTCGCAAAGCGGCAATCCCAAAGGGAGGCTCTTGAGGAAATTCATGTTTGAGGTTTCGACTTGCGGCCGAAATCAAGAGCGCCAAGGAGCTCGAAGCCGAGGCTAAAAATTTGGCTTATCCCGAAGATGATAATGAATCCAAGGTTTAAGCGAGTCCGAAGACGAAGGAGATCCCGAGGGCGACGACGCGGCCCCCGGTGAAGACTAGGCCACTTAAGCTCTTTAAAAAATAAAAGAAAATTGTTTATCTCTTTGGTTGAGGCTATTTGGCCTTTGTAAAGAATTTGTATCGAGGTCGTTTCGGCCCTTGTAATTTATTTATTTTTGATATATATAAAGCCTTTTTTCCCTTCAGCAATTTTTAAGTTCTTTGCTCTTTTACATTCGCAAAGAGTAACATGCCTTAGCATGAAATAGTTACGTTTATGCCCGGAGGTTCGAACAAGCCTTGCGTTTAAACTTATTTTGTTTTAAGGCATTGTGGGGTTTCGGTGTGGCTGAAATTTTTTACCCGAAGTATTTATACTTTCTTAGATTATAGTTTGCCGAGGGTAGCTTTTAGAACCGGTTAGGAAATTTCGAAGCCTTATTGTTTTTGTTACGGGTCTCAGACTTCTTCGAGCCATTTTAATTTGGTTGTAGCTTTTTTAGATTGGGTATTACCCAGTGGGCTTGTCACCTCGACTTATCCAGGCTTGCCTAGGAAAACAGTCCCCGAGTGGGGATGGTCGTGGCCTCTAAAATTCGGGTGCTTGCCTAATTGGTCTTGTGCCCCCGAATTCCAACAGCCCGGACCGCCCGAGTTTTTTTCCCGACGGTAGTCCCCGAGAGTGATTGTACGAACTCAGATTAAGGTGGCCCTTAGGATCGATACCTTTAGGGTGTTGGATGCAGGAAATTTCTTGATAAAATGCAAGAAAAATTTTAGAAGGCCAAAATATTTATCCGCAAGGAAAAAACTTCTTTTTATTCTTGTGCAAAATAGTTATACATGCGTACATTTACTACAACATCGTGTTGGAAGATAGCTAGACAAGTTAGGGGATACATTCCCCTTTTTCAGAATAGTTGGCATAAACATTTGCCTTGCAAAATGTCTTTTCTCATGTGGAGACTTTTAAAGGAAAAATTGCCCTTCGATGAAGTTTTTCTCAAGTTTGGTCAATATTTTGCTTCCAAGTGTTTTAGCTACAGGATACCTAAAGGAAAAACAACTCATCACACATTCATGACTAGAGAAGCAGCAATCAGACTATGGAAAACTTTTGGCAATCCCGTGGACATTAAATGGGAAGATATTCCCATCAAATTGATGATTTTAAGATGGTGGTCAATGAAGCCCAAGAATTTTATTCATCAGGAGATTCTGAGGATTACTCTGGGAGATATGAAAGGAGAGATGTGTAGTCAGATATGAATCCTCTAGAGTTTATGTGGCCAGAATACTTCATCAAATACTCTCACACCTTAGATGGTCTATTGCAAAGAATCTGAAGAAGGATTGGGGCCACCAATGGGATGTCATTTGCCAACAAATTTGTGCACTTGTTCCTACTGTTGAAACTACTATTGTTAGATGGACTAAACCAGTTGCAAATTGGTTTAAGCTTAACACAGATGGTAGTAGGGATAGAGAAGGGAATATGGGATCAGGGTTTACATGTTGAAGGGCATGTACGATCCATCTTGGCAAATGCAGGACGCAATTAAGGATATTCTACAACTCTTGCAATCTTGCAAGTTTTCCATCCAGCATTGCTATCGAAGCTAATCAAGTAGCAGATGCATTGGCTAAATGGAGCATCATTCATGGAAATTCTATCTTTTATAGTTGGAAGGATCTTCCCATTCAAGCTACAGGACCATATCTCATGGACAAGATACAAATGGCTACATTTAGACACAAGGGAAGAAGGAAATTTGTTACTGAATCTATGTAATTTTCTGTATAGCACTTTCTGAGAGCTCCTTTCATACATAGGTAGACTTTCTTACGTACATTTGATATGTGCCTTTTGTATATTGGTAAGAAAGCTACTCTATCTTCGTATTTTGTTCTATCAGCAGTTATAAGGATGGTCTTTTGGATGTAATGAACGGAGGTCAGGTGGAATGTCCCCCTTTGTTATGTGCTCTTTTTGCTGGGATTATATAAAAGGAAGGCGCACCTAAAGCCGTAAAATTTTATAAAAAGAAATGATTTGATTAAAGATTTTCAGATGGAGTAGCTACCAAAAGTACTGTTTAGGGCTCAAAAATTGAATACTTTTTAGTGGTAACAAGAAGATTACATGTGAAAAGAGTATCAGGACATAATTTATTTGAAGCACACCACATGAATCAAACTCTATATTTAGTGGATATTACTCAAGATGTTCTTCAATGAAACATACGTTCCATATAGGGCAACAGAAGAACCCAGCACTAAAATCGCTGCAATAAACATAACTTCTATCCCAAAACTCCTTAAGTAGGGCTTCCTAATCTTGAGGTAGCAGATGCATGGGAATAATATAGACAGACTAATGCCCGTAAATGCGCCTACAAATGTCATGACATATTCGAAAACGGGAACGACTAATGCAATAATAACAGTGCTAATAACCAAAATTGTTCTGGCTAAGCAACTCATAGGTCGACTCTTGCAGCATGGAAGTGTATCTTCAATTGCCGTTGCGATTGGTGAGACAATAAGGGCGTACTTGGTTAATGGACTAATTAGCGTCGTGTATATTGCAATCTTTGAACTCACTTTTCCGGTGGGGAGATTTAAAGTTACTTGCGACATCAAATTTTGTCCGTACATTAAGCACCCCATTGTTGCCATTGATCCATAAGTGATGGTGCTTAGTAAAAAGCACACGAGTAGAACCTGTTGACAAGAAAAAGAAAAGAGCATTAGGGCAAGCTGTTCATTAAAGATGGATGAATTATCTTTATATGTAGTGAGACATGAGCAACTCAACAAAATTAGTGGCCTAAAGCCAAATCTTAATCAGAGGTCTTAAGTAAATTTAATAAAATTAGCTTTTATGTGCGCCACACTTGCATCACGTGCATCATGAATATTAAAGTTTTTATGAAATATTTAAGCTAGTTGCCTCTGGGTGGATGATCCTCTCTAGTCAGAATATTAAAAATTGTTGGATTAGTTATAATCACACATCACTATATGTTTGATCTAATGAATTATACTTTTTCTCTTCTATTTTATATGTCATTTTTTTTTAAGAAGGATGTCACCTTTCTATATCAAAATACCATCTTTAGCATTAAATTACGTATTTTCCTTTAATGGCATACTGTTATAACCTTAGAAATGCTATAACTTGTTTAAAATTACAAGCTTTAGAGATACTTTTGGCATGTGCCTGAATTTTTTTTCTTAAGCTCCATATTCAATCAAATAATGTTATATAAAATAAAACGGACAGTAGTATAAAAAAAATTACCTTAGAAAATTGTCTCTTGTCCTTCATTGAATGATAGAGTGTTGGAAGAACTGCATGACCACAATAACAAAAGGTAAACATGCTTACTGCAGTTCCTAACCCATTCCATCTCCAAAGAGTACCACTCTCTTGAAAACCCACACCATCTGTTACACCAACCCAGAATACAGAAACGACTAAAATAATAGAGGATAAAACTCCTCCAGCAGAAATATAAGCTAATAGTCCTAAGTTATTTAGCCATGTTGTTGGCAATATAATTAGAGCAGCTAGAATGACAAAGGCTTTTCTACCCACAATTTTGATGCCACCAACATGAAAATTGGCATCCGGGAATAACTTATGCAAATTGTCGCCCTCTAATATGAGGAACTCAATTGCTACTAAATACAATTCTAAATACATAAATACTGATACCATAATCCTTCCTATTTTTCCAAAACCATATTGGCCTATGTCTGGATATGTTTTTACTAATGCTGGAACGTCGCTCATGCATTCTTTTAAAAGAAATCCCGTATAACAACATATAATTGCTATTAAGAAAAGCATTATCAAACTTAACCATCCTCCTGCTGAAAGTGCATAGGCTATCGATAATAGTCCAACACCTATATGAAATAAAGCACGGGAAGAAAAAGAGTGTAAGTCTGATGAAGCGGTGTCAAAAAGGAAAAAAATTATAGTAAACGAAATTCAACATATTCATATAACAATTACTACTCCCTACATTTCACTTTATGCGGCACGATTCCCGGTACGAGAATCAAAGTTCTTAAATTTGACCTCAAAATTAGACATAAATTCTTCAAATTTTTGAAATTAAAATTTACGTACTTGAAAGCTAAATAAAGTTAATTATAACTAATAAACTCAAAATATTAATAAAATATTGAAGAAAAATATGGTCAAAGAATAACCTCGTAGATTCCCCAAATAATAGTAATTAAAACATAGAGATTAGTGCTTCTTTCTTCAAAATAATAAGACATTAACCTGATAATGCATTTAGTCCATTGAAGCATGTTAGGAGGAAGGAGGTTCCGCTAGTAGGCTCTAGAGGTTGTTGGGTCTGGTTTTGACTCTCAATAGTCTCTACATTATGGGACTCCATATTTGTTACTTTACAGAATATTCATATGCTAATTTCTATACTTGATTTTTTCTCTCAATATATTCTCTCAAGACAATATAGGAATACAGATTTTGAGTGCCCAAACCTTCGTGAGATGCTATTGTTTATATAATGCGTTTGGCAAAACTAGCTACACTATTTTCCGCAAACACTTTACTTACTTTTGGTATATATACTTTGTTTTGGAAAAATTAGGAAAACTAACTACACTGTTTTGCTTCCAACACCTCACAGACCCTCTTTAAAAGATTATTGCAAATGAAAACGTGATGAATACATGTCTTTATAAAGGAAAAGCAACAGACCCTCTTTAATATATCCAACTTCCTATTAGAACTTTTAGAGCCTACTATTAGTGGGCGTATTAGCAATTTCAGTGCTGTTATAAGTTGTTGGAGTAATGGAATGAACACCCCAATAGTCTCACTATTTGTCATCTTCTTTGTCGCGAATTAGGATCTCATGCCATCAAGGTCACATAAAACGGTTACTCATTAATTAATTCCCTAGTAAAATATGAGACGCCAATTATTTGAATTTTTTTTAAGGCTACTACGTGGTCACCAGCATCCGTTAAGCTCGAAAACAATATTGCTATATAAATCTGTGTGTACGGGCTATATACCTTGAGAAACAAGTATATATTTGATTAAGAGGGTGTATGACTAAGTTTATAAGCTGGTCAAACTAGCTTATAAGCAATTTCAGCTTATCTATATGTTTGATAAATACCAAAAATACTTATAAATTAAAGTGCTTATAAGCCAAAAAAGTCATAAGAACTTTTACTATGTTGTCCATATATTATTCTATAATTCTGAAATATATTTACTGAAATAAAACTCTTAACTCTATTCTTTACTTCAATCCATCATCTTTTTTTGGTGGAATGAAATTCTTTTATTCATCTCCAGAACAAAGTACAATGAAGGATCATACTCTTGCTTCTAGCTATATAAAAAAGTCCCGTATTTACTCATTTATCATATCTTGTACATGTATTTTCCTGCATATCTCCTATATATATCCATATACTTCTTCCAGCCATTTTCTGTCCTTGCCCTTTTTCCGCTTGCTGAGTATTTCCACCACTCTAACTTTGTACTTTTCTTTGATTTGCTCACATACTTTGTATGGTCTAGGGACCGAACTCTGCCATAGGGCTTCATTCTTCCCTTTCCATACATGATAGTTAGTTGCTGCCAATAGTGCATATGAGAATTCCCTATTCATTTTGCCTCCCATTTTTCTCGCTACTCTTCTCCACAAGAATTGTCCTTCAAGGTTTGTGATCCTTACCTTTAGCCACTGTTGTATTGTAGTGATGCATATTTTTGAGAATTGACACTCATAGAATAAGTGTTCAACACAGGCCATCTGTGTTGATGCCTCTGCGAGCTAGCATATCCTTTGAGAGTAACTTCTTCTGCATAGTCAGCCAGCAAATAAAGTTGTGTTTCGGAATGTTTTGTTTGTTCCAGACCCATCTTCCCCATTGGCAAGTGTCCAGATTTCCCTTCTACCAGGAATAGCCTTTTTGGATTGTATACTTTCCTGTTTTTGACTGCCATTCTCCATGAGTATAGCCCCTGTCAATTTGTCTCTTATGTGACATATTTTCTTCCAATACCAACTACTCTCCTGTGGTACATTGTATCGCCACAAATCTATATTTTTAAGGTAGATATGATTAATCCATTTGACCCACATAGAGTCAGTTTTTGGAATTATGTCCCAGACATACTTCTATATGGCTGCCTCATTCCATACCACACAGTCCTTTATTTCAATCCCTCCTTCTTGTTTTGGTCGACATACGAGGTCCCAGGCCACTAGTGGTGCCCTATTTGTTTCTACCTTACCACCCCACAAATAATTTTGACAGATTGCTATAATGCTTTTGAGAACTGCTTTGGGAAGTATGAAGATCGATGCCCAATATGTGTGGATATGCATCAGCACTGCATTGATCATTTGCACTCTTCCAGCATATGATAAATTTTTTGACCCCAGCTCCTTATTCTGGTAGTTAGTTTGTCCACTAGCACCTGACGGTCCATTTTTGATAGTTTCTTAGATGATATTGGGACACCTAAGTATTTAAATGGGAGTCTCTCTTTACTATAACCTGTTATTTCACACAAATCTTCTATCTCCTGTGCCTTCATATTCATAGCAAATATGTTAGACTTGCCTGCATTAGTTGTTAGCCCTGAGGATCTGGAGAATGATTGAAGACCTCTCAGCATCAACATCACAGATTGGAACTCACCTTTGCAGAAAATGAGCACATCATCTGCAAAGTAGAGATGATTAAGCTGCAAAATTCTACATTTGGTATGATAACAAAATCCCTCCTGTTGTGCCATTAGTTTCATTATCCTTGAGAAGCATTCCATACATATTACAAATAGTAGAGGAGATATAGGGTCCCTTTTCTCAAGCCTCTCTTCTCTTTTGTGCTCCCATATAGCCCTCCATTTATAGCCACAGTATACTGAGGAGTTGATTTTCCCTCCATAATCCACCTTATGAACTTCATAAAAAAGTTGAGTGCATGAAGCATATCTTCCACAAAATCCCATTTTATAGAGTCATAGGCCTTCTTAAGGTCTATTTTAATCAAATAGCTCTTGGTTGCTGCTTTTCTATTGTATAGACTAACCAGATCTTGACAAATCAGTATGTTCTGTATGATTGTTCTTCCAGCCACAAAGGCACTCTGGTTTTCAGAAATTATGTCTGGCAGATGATCTTTAGCCTATTACACAGCATTTTGGATATGACTTTATAGACTATGTTGTAACAGGCAATGGGTCTATAGTCCCAACTGCCTCTACATGGCTGCTCTTCGGAATCACTATGATTACTGTGTTTTTTATTGTCTTTGGCATCTTTCCTAATGTGAAGAACTCTGGCATTGCCTCCTTGAGGTCTTTACTAGTTATGCCCCAGCTATCTTTGAAGAATTTACTCCCATATCCATCAGGACCTTCGGCTTTTTCCACATCAATTTGCCATAATGCTAGCTTGACCTCCTTCTTAATGAATTCTTCTGTTAACATGTTCCTCTGTGCCTCTGTCACTACTTGTCCTTTTCTAACCGGATTACTGCAAACATGTGTTCTTTCTGTAGTAGACCCTAGTAGCTTAGTATAGAATTTCACAAATGCATCTACTATCCCTTCCATATTAATGACCATATTACCCATAAAGTCCTTTATTGAAAGGATTCTACTGGTATTCTTTCTAGCCTTCATATAACTGTGAAAGTATTTGTTATTCTGGTCCCCTTGTTTCAACCATTGTACTTTGCTTTCTGTCATAAAAATTGATCATTTGCTTTCTTTAATATACTATTATTATTTGCCAATTCCTGCTCCTTGTCTATAAGACTGTTTTTGGTAGGGTTTTGCTGCAGCTGCTTTTGACACTTCTCAAGTTCTTCCTTGGCTTGCTCTGCTTTCAATTCTATGTCACTGAATTTGGATCTATTCAGTTGTTTAAGTACTCGTTTCAATCTATTCAGTTTTCCCATTATCTAATACATTTTGGTCCATCTGGTTCTAGTGTTCCAGCTATTTGCTACTTTTTCCTTAAATTCAGAATTCATACTCCACATGTTAAAGTACTTGAATGGTCTGTTAATCCTCTGATTCCCATTCTCCCAATTAATTATGGATGGGCTATGGTCAAACAATCCCTCAGTCATATAGTGAACCATAGAAGCTAGTAGTTGTGATAACCAGTCCAAGTTTACCAATAATCTGTCTATTTTACTAAGTACTTTGTCTCATCCACTTTGCTTGTTGTTCCAGGTAAAATAGGCACCAGTTGATTTGAGCTCTTGGAAGCTGCATGCATCAAAACATTGCCTAAAGTCTCTTGTTTCAGCCACTGTCACAGGACTTCCTATTTTGTCTTCCTTGTGCAGGACACTGCTGAAATCACGCATCACAGCCCATGGACCTCGATTGTGGTTGCAGATGTCCACTATCTCCTTCCATAGGTTCCTCCTAAGTGCTATATCATTATAAGCATATACCATGGTTATATGAAATTTCATACCAGTACATTTATGTCTGACTACACTATGTATTAGTTGATCAGTAGTTCTCAGTATATCTACCTCAAATATCATTGGCTTCACAATAACCAAATTCTCCCCTTTGGGTGTTGTGCCAAATTAGTTGTAAACAACCATCCATCACAAAGATTAAGAGAAACTCTATGAGCTTTTGTTCTCCTAATTTTAGTTTCCAGGAGACCAAACAAGACAGCTCTACTATTATGCATAAACACATGAATATCTCTTTGTTTATCTGGCCTGTTGAGTCTCCTGACATTCCAAAAGCCTAACTTATCCATTTGTCAGGGGCTTACCCCTACCCCTTCCATGTCCTGGACCAATCACATCTAGTTCTCCCTCAGGGCAGGAAGTAATGGTTTTACCTTGTCTTGGTTCTTCTGCATTCCCTCCTTTGTTAGGTGCAGTAAATGCATTCCTTGTTAGTATTGAATTTGGTTCACTTAGTTGTTTCCTTATCTCTTTGTCACTGGATTTATTTTCTCCTATTTTGTTCTCCTTTCCCTGGCTAGGTTCCTCTGTTGCTTATTTCTCCTTCTCAATTTGTTTCCCTTTTATTTCTGCTTCTTCCTTATGTATCTTTCTACAGTCTTGTAGATCATGTCTTACATTTTGAACATAATGTAGGCTTCCATTCATAGTACACCTCTTGCTTCACTATTTCCCCAATTCATTTTCAAACATTACTTGTGTAGGATACTGCTATTAGCACTTCAACTGGCACCCTTGCAAATGCTAATCGTTCCTTATTAATTGTTGCTCTATCAGATTTTAAAAGTTTTCCTACCTTCCCAAATATTTTGGTAAGAGCATTCTTCCCCCAGTACTTGATATCCAGTCCTTTGAGTCTTATCCATGTTGGAATTCTGTCAACTTTTTCCTTGCTCACATCTATGTCTAGTTCCTATGGATTTACTACTACATGCTCTTTGTCAAACATATGGACTCCCTCCTCAAT